TAGAAAGAGGGTAACCCAAATTCTGTCAAGCACTACCCTAAACAGGATTTCTCAGGTCCATACCTGTGCTAATCCACTAATACAAGCAATGCCCTCTCAAAGACAGAGACAAAAAAGGAGCAGGAAAAAACAAGTATAATCACAGATAAGAGGCATAAAATCATTCTTACTCCTGCTCTTCCTAAAGCTTAACTACATGAATTAACTTTGCACAGAACTTAGGGTTTATGAAATACTGCCAGTTATTTCCACCTTAGAAACACTTCTGCATATGTGCCCCAGCTAAAGGAACTTGCCAACATGGGCAATTCAAGTACTTCCACCTCTGAAATTCTTCCTCTCAATATAGTCAAATACTCTGAATATACGATAAAGATTAATTCTGGGATAAACCTGAGCATCTCTTCTAGACAGAAAATAAAAGGGCTGAAGATGTGGTTCAGTGGTAAAGCACCCCAGGGTTCAATCCCAGGTATGTATGTATGTATATATGTAGGAAGGAAGGAAGGAAGGAGGAAGGGAGGGAGGGAGGGAGGAGGGAAAAGAGGAAGAAAAAAATCCTCTTGGGAAAATAGTTAAGACAAGGTGAAATGAGTAAAATCTGGCCAGAACACAATTAATCTCCTACATGTAATCATACTTTGCTTCCCTGAGTATCAAGGTGAGTTTTATATTCTCCCTTTAGGATTTCAGGAATCTGAATATGTAAATTCAAGGATATAATATTATAATAGAAAAAAGCAGGGCTGGGGATATAGCTCAGTTGGTAGAGTGCTTGCCTCACATGCACAAGGCCCCGAGTTCACTCCCCAGCACCACATTAAAAAAAAAAAAAAAAAAAAAAAAAAAAAAGCAGCCCTGACAGTCTGATACTTTCAGCTAGGATTTTGTGTCATGGTGAAAATAAAGAATTTCACAAACACCAGCACCAGAGAAGATGACCCTATCTCTCTATTTTTTAGGTACCAGGGATTAAACCCAAGCGCACTTAACCATTGAGCCACACCCCCAACCCTTTTTGAGACAGGGTCTTGATAAATTGCTGAGAGCCTTGCTAAGCTGCTAACGCTTTGTCTGAACCTGTGATCTTCCTGCCTCAGCCTCCGGAGTTACTGAAATTATAGGTGTACACCACCATGCCAGGCTCCCCCGCCTCACCTTTTTTTTTTTTTTTTTTCAGTGCTGGGGATCAACCCAGGGTCTCATGAATGCTAGGTGATCACTCAGTCACTGAACAACTACCTCGGCTCCCATATAACGTCACTTGTACCAAATCTGAACAGAGATTGAAACATGAACATTGTCTAAACCACAGAAAGATCAAATCTGGCTAATAAAAACGACTGCTTCATCATTACCAATTCCAGCTTTAACCACCCTCTAGACAAGATTAAGATTCAAACAAAGGAATCTTGTCCCCACCAAAGAACTTCCTAACAGTATCTGATCTGGAGCCAAGAGTTTTATTTCCTCAAGACTTCCCCCAGACACCTAACATAAGCCCCAAGTTTAAGTTCTTTCTAACAACCTCTGAAAGTCCCCTTCCTTTCCTTATGGTTTAGGTTTCTCTCTCTCTGGAAAGAGCAATTATATCTTATTCTACTACAGGAGGGTCCCTGGTATCTTTGGCTAGAGGGCATTAATGATGGAAAATTCATATCTAAAGCTAAATACCATATGGGAAAATAAATAAATAAAAATATGAGCTAAATACCTCACCAGGGTGTGGTGACACACACCTGTAATTCTGCTACCAAGGAGGCTAAGGCAGGAGATCCAAAGTTTGAAGCCAACCTCAACAACTTAGTGAGATCTTCAGCAACTTAGCAAGACCATTTCTCTAAATAAAAAATAAAAAGGTCTGGGGCTGGGAATGTGGCTCAGTGGTCAAGTGCTTGTGTGTCATATGTATGAAGCCCGGGGTTCAATGTTCAGCAACAACACCACTTAAAAAAAAAAAAAAAGGCTGGGGATCTGGGGGATGTAGCTGAGTGGCAATACACCCCTGGTTCAACCCCCAGTATAAAAAAAATAAATAATTACATTCAATTAAATAATTTAAACTATATATGCCATACCCTTCATAAGCCACGACCCCTGCAAACATCCTCCTTTCTTATTCTTTTCTGTACTGTTTTCCTGAGTTCCCTGCTTCTTCTGTAGCAGTTTTGTTTTTGTCCTGTAAATGTAGGTGTTCCCTAAGATTCTGTATCTAGCTCCTCTTTCAGTATCAAAGGCTCTTAATCATTTCTGACTCAGTCCTCCCTTTGAAAATCTAATAAAAATTAAGACTTGCTTCCCAAACCAGCCCCCATAATCCTGCCCAGAAAATATACACATAATAAAAATTTTGCAATTTAAGAAAGTATATGGGACTCAAGTATTAAGAGTGCCTTCTCCTCTATAATAATTTCAATAATCCCTGATATATGATGAACGACTCCCAAACCACTAACTTCCTACCCTTTCTCAAATTTCAACTAATAGACAGAAAGCATAAAACTAAACTCATCTTCTCTCAATCTGCTCCTTAATACTCACCCTGCCATCTTTCCAGTTCCCCAGGTTCAACACATCAGTATTAATTTTGACTTCTTCCTCCACAACAGATTGTCTGAGCACATCATCACCTACAGATTTAACCTCTAAGATGTCTTAAATCTCTCCTCCCCATCCTCTCCCTTGTCACTTGCCTAATTTGGCCCTTCATTACCGCTCATGGTATACACCATGGCACTAGCCTCCTGTTACTGCCCTCCTGGATGCATTACTCCAACCACATCACTCCCCACTAGAAATCACTGAGCCACTGCCTCCCCACTCCAAAAGGAGTAATATCTTAGCTAGGTATTCAAGGGCTTCTATAACCTGATTCAGTCCAACTCTCTTATAGACAACTAAAACTTGTCATACTAGAACCTCAATATCTCTCATAAATAGTGATACCTTTTCACTAGATACTCTAGAAAAGCAGTGTTGCTGGTTCTCTGCTTTGGTTCTGGAAGCTATGCAAAGAAAAATACTAGAGGTAGGTATTAAGTTAAATTATCACTTAACATGCTCACCTTCAAAACAGTGTCAATAAATTCAAGAAACAAGAGATTTTGATGTTAACTCAGATTACCATTCAGCAATACTGCTGGGAAAAACACTATGGTGCATGTGTAAGGAGTAGAAAGAACCCTTCCAAGCAGGAAATTCTTTTTCTACTCCAAGTGATAATGATGACAGTTCTCAAGCCATCAGTGGGCAAGCTGAGAAACTAAGAAACGGGAAGCTTTGTGGAGGCTTGCTACTACTATTTAGTTTTGGAGGGCTTCTGTATAAGACAAGCAACTTTCAACAGAAAAGGAAATGAAAACTTGGCCCCAACCACCATGGTATTACTTCCTTCCTCAAAACTGTTTAAATTTAGTTGGGTGCAGTGGTGCGCGCCTACAATCCCAGCAGCTCAGGCAGTTGAGGCAGGAGGTTCATTAGTTCAAAGCCAGCCTCAGCAAAATTGAGGTGCTAAGAAACTCAGTGAGACCCTGTCTCTAAATAAGATACAAAATAGGGCTGGAGACATGGCTCAGTGATCGAGTCCCCCTGAGTTCAATCCCCAGTTAAAAAAAATAAATTAATATTTTGCCTTTTATAAACAAATACTTCACCTAAAACTTAAGATTTTCTTGATCTACAGGATCCTTCTCTCTTTCGACTGACCCCATATGTGTTTAGCTTTAGTGTAAATTTACTCAGCCATTATGACACTACATGCCTATTCACACAGGGTGAGGTGAAAATGGAGGGAGCGGCTGGTCCTAGTCATTACCCACCTCCAGGTCCTCCCTCTTCTCACTTGCCATTCCTCTGACATTGTGCCATTTGTAGTCTTCGGTTCCAATCGTATTCACTATTTGATTTATTTTATCCTTGCTAAAATTGTGTTGGTTACATAGCTTACTGATAAATTTTCCCCTTCATTTGTAACTGTCTCTCTCTCCCTCTCTTTCTTTTTCTTTCTTTCTTTTTTTTTTTTTTTTTGTTACCACAAATTGAACCCAGGGGCACTCAACCACTGAGCCACATCCCCAGCCCTCTTTTTTAAATTTTAAGACAGGGTCTCACTAGGTTGTCTACAGCATCTCTAAGTTGCTGAGGCTGGCTTCAAACCTATGATCCTCCTGCTTCAGCCACTGGGATTACAGGAGTGCACCACCATGCCTACCTTATAACTGTCACTCTCTTTAAAATTACTTCCCTTGGATGTGTGTGATGGCACATACCTATAATCCCAGACACTCAGGAAGCTGATGCAGGAGGATCACAAGTTTGAGGCCAGCCTCAGAAACCTAGTGAGACCCTATCTCAAAACAAAAAAATAAAAAAGATTGGAATATAGCTTTGGTGCCCCTGGTTCAATCCCCAGTACCAAAATCAAAACCAAAACCTCAACTCTAGAAGATGCATTATATACAGAGGATTAGGAGGCTTAAAGATGTGTTATTTTGAGGCTGGGGCTCTGTGGTAGCAAGGCACTGGGTTTGATCCTCAGCACCACATAAAAAATAACTGAATAAGATATTGTGTCCAACTACAACTAAAAAAAATATTTTAAAAAAAAGGGCTGGTGTTGTGGCTCAATGGTAGAGCACTCGCCTACAAGTGTGAGGCTCTGGGTTTGATCCTCAGCACCACATAAAAATAAATAATAAAATAAAGGTATTGTATCCAACTCCAACTGAAAAAAAAAAAAAAAAAAAAATATATATATATATATATATATATATATATATATATATATATGCCGTATTATTTTGAAAACATCAGAAGACGCAGAAGTTCTGAGAAAAAGAGCAGAAAGAGAGGAAGTGGTCAACAGGAGGGCATGGAAAGGAGAGTTAAGGGAGTTCCTTTTCAAAAGAAACTAATGGGGAAAATGAGCAGTGAGAGGTTCTGGAGCATGCAGAGATATATATTCAAGAACTAGGATAAAGTTTTCCCCTCCAGACACTTACCGTGTTGCATTTTGTGCCACACACCACTTGCCTATGATTCAACCATTGAGATGCAAACACTTTATTGAGGGTCCCAAGGTGAAACTCTCTCTCCTTCAGGAGACTGGGAAGTTGCTGTGCTGCATATCCATGCAACACTCTAGAGTAGTTGGTTTCATTCTGTAGTCTGACTTCCCGGTTCTTCAGGTAGTACACCAATGATCTCTTCACTGGGGGAAGTCTTTTCCTCTTGTGAATCGAGTGATCCCAGCCAAACTATGAAAGTAACATTAGAAATCAGGACTTTGTCTACCTTTCTTCTGAACAGGAGATCCTACCATATTAGCAAAATAACCAAAACTCACCCTGCAGAATTTACATACAACAGAAATACGAATATAAAAGAACAAGGACCTCAGTTCAGAAAGTTCAGTTTAACTCTTACAACAGCGAAATGACGTCGCTCATAGTTAAACCTATAATGGAAGTAGAAAAGAACTGAAAAAAAAAGGTTTACTAGACCTTCTGGGAGTGAAGGATTCAAATATTCTTTACCTATCCTTGAGAGCAAAAGAGAGGACTAGTGGTTCCCATACCCACCTGGACTGCATCTCTACCCTGCCCCCTTCTCCCTCTTAGCCTGTATTCCCCACGGAACATGGAGGGTGTAGCTCAAGTAGCCAGACTGGGTCCCAGGTCTTCCAGGGATGTGCTATCAATGGCGGCTCCTCTATCATTACGCCCGCGCTCCAGGCAGTTGTAGAATTCGAAAAATCAAATTACCAACGGGGTAGGCGGATGGGGAAATCAGAGTCCGAATCCAAGTTCAAGAAGCCCCCCCCGCCCCCCGCAAAGAGTACGGTGTTGGGATGACACCTGGTAACTACTGTTTCTTCTAGGGGTCCAAGTGCCAGAAGCCCAGCTCAGGCGTGGGTATCCTTAGTGACACTATTTCCTCAATGAAGGTAGCAATCGGCCCGCTTCACTGTGCCGCTGGAAGGTGGACTTCCCTCTCCCTCTCATTAATTTCTGGGAGTTTGATTTTGTTTCCGATTCCTCATGACTTATATTTTCTCTTCCTCCAGAATCAAGATTCCGGTTTCTCCTCAGGCCCTATTCCTGGCTCATGCCTCCTAAGGAAGGTCCCACTTCTGAGTTCCCCCTTGCCTCTAGACTATTTGCTCTCCAATGAGGTCCTGAGGGACTGGCCATGACCGCAGGTCCAGGCCCAGGTCTTGTCCCGCCTCGGACTACGGACCTTGGACCCAGATTCCTGTCCTTGGATCTGCAGACCCTAATCACGTCTTGGTGCCTCAGTCTCAACGCCCAGATCCCGGTTTCAGAACCCTCACCTGCGGGCCCTGAGCGTCGCTCCCAGCTCCTGGAGAGACAGGTGCTTTCCGCTTCCTGCTAACTGCTTTCCGAGCCATAGTGGGCAGCGCCGCCGCGGCCCCGCAGCCACATGGGGCGGGGGAAGCGAGGGGTAGCAGGAGAGCCGGTCATATACTGGGCCCCGGGGCCGCGCGCTGTAGTGCGCCCGGCCCGGAAAATGGCCCGGCCCCGGGGCGGCAGTAGAAAAAAGGGAGGCGGACAGAAGGAAAGAAGGGAGATTCGGGGTTGGGAAGGGGAATAGGAAGGGGGAAGGAAAGGTAAAAAACAGATTTCAGACGACCAACTCTGGAAAGGACGGCGAGCGGCAAGAACCAAAACACCCCCTCCCCCCTTCGCCCGCGCTCCGTCACCCTTGCGCAGCCGCACTTGGCGGCGCGTCGCCGCAGAGACGCTGCACGCACGAGAGGGGCGGGATTTAGGGCTCCGTGGAGAATTCGTAGCTGTTGCCGAGCTTCCGCCTTCCCCTTTCCAACGGTTGTTTGGCGATCTCGGGCGATGGACCAGCTGGGGCCAAAGGAATCTGGCTTTTGGCCGCAGACCTCTGACCCCAGCCCGCCCATCAGTCCGCACCCGGAAATGAAGACCACCAGCCCTGCTCAGGGACGGAATCCCTCCCAGCACACGTCCTTACCGTTACTCAGGTTACCTCCCACCTAGCACCCAGCACCGCTTGTTTCCCCGAAACTGTCACACTGCCGGGACTCCTAGGATTGGATATTGAAGGGCAAGTGCACACCCCATCCCACCCCCTTCCTTATGGTGGGACTTGGCTTGGAAGCCAGGACAGCGTGGCTAGACTTTCCCACCGCCGAGAACCTGCACTGCACAACCAGCCTTGGCCGCCCTGCGTAACTCTAGGCAGCCCTCTCCCCACCACTGTGGAGCCTTAAGGCGCTAGTCACTCCTGGCCTCACTCACTCCGTTGCCCCTCCCCCTCCTGATTCTTTCCTGTCCCTCAGTCAACTGACCCTTACCATGCCCCCGTTAAGATCCCGTGACCTGCCATCAAAGCCACACTGTCTTTTGCGGTTTAGAAAATAGGCCTCACGGTGTGATTTATCTGTCACTGCTTGCCTCTCTTGGTCCTGTCTTCGCCTTAGGAAGTTTGAATGAAGTTCCTAATCACGGAAGAGTTGCCATTTTTAGCACTTTGGTTAAGTTGGTCACTAAAAAGAGGTTTTGTTTTTGTTATTTTGGGATGCTGGGGATAGAACCCAGGCCCTCAAGCAACCTAGACAAGCAACTTTACCACTGAGCTACACCCCCAGTCCCGTAAGGGGTTTTTTTCAGGATCACCCTTGCCTCCATTTTCTGAAGATCCTGAAGGAATTTGAGTGCCAGCTTCCTCAGGCAAAGAAACCCTTGGAGGAATCAGGATGCTCTTTCTTGAGACTGACTGGCCTCTGGCTGTGGTGCCCAGTTACCTGCTGGTCCCTTCAAACTTCAGGCCTCATACCTCCAGGGAGCTCTATTGGCCCATCTGAAGTTCTGCCTACAAGGAGATTTGGATTTGTTTTTCAAGCTGAATCAAAGACCAGACTGAGACAGGGTCCTCCGCCATCCCAAGTTGGCACTGCCACTAACCCCTAAAGCCACCTTGGGAAAGGCAGCTCCATCTTTCTTGGTTAGGTCTGTTCCTTCAGAGACATGCACACAGTGAATGGGTCAGGAGTGGCCCAGTTTCCTTTTTGAGTCTGTTGTTCTAGTTCTGTCTTGCCTCACAATGCTTTGGATGACCCAGGAGACCATTGGGCAAGAGTCTGGAATCCTTTGAGAATCTCTAGGCTCAGGCTGGAAAGGGCTTGTCTTCTGGTCTCCTCAGGCTATATCCCAGGGACACACTGGGTTGCTGCAGGCTCATTTTTGAAGTTAGTGTATTTCATCTTATCCCAGGAACCATCTGCAGATGTACCTCACAGCAGAGCTCACCATTTCTGTGGAAATGAAGCAGAAAGAAGGCCCATTCAGAAGTTCAAAAGTTTACATTTTTTGTTATTTGTTTGTTTGTTTGTTTGATAATGCTGGGGAGTTGAACCCAGGGCCTTGCACACTCTAGGCAGGTGCTTTACCCTACATCCCCAGCCCCGTGAATGTTTTTTAAATGGCTGATAACACCAAGAATTGCTGAGGAGGTATAATGTCTGAAACTCTCATACATCGTTAGAAAAACCAAATTGAAAAAAATTTGTGGTTGTTGCCTGCCAAAATGAAGGTTAACTTTTTTTGTTTGTTTTAGTATTAAGGATTGATCCCAAGGCCTTGGGCAAGCACTGAACCCTCAGTCCTAAACATGTGTGCCTTTTGATTCAGAGGTTCTACTTCTGGGTTATACACCCAGCAGAAATGAGTATTTATGACCTCCAACATCATTGATAAGAAAGGTCAGCAATTTTATTCATAATAACTCCAAACTGGAAATAATGTCAATAGCAAAAAAGGTAAATGTGGTTTAATCATACAATGGGATATTACACAGCAGTGCTACACATGGACATTGTGTGGATGAATCTGTTTTGAGTGGAAAAAAATCAAACATGAAGCAGTAATTCCTAACTGTAAAATTAGTAAATGTAGGGAGCTGTAAGTGTAGCTCAGTGGTAGAGCACTTGCCTAGCACATGTGAGGCCCTGGATTCAATTCCTTGCTGCAAGCAATAAATAGTAAGTAAGTAAGTAAATAAATAAATAAAATCCTTAATCTGGCCTTTATGAGCCTGCATTGTCTGACTTCAAATTTGACTCCAGCCACATCTTGTATTTCCTCTTTCTCAGCTTCAGCTGCAGTAGCTCTCTTCCAATCAAACTGCTTCCTAATCAAAATGCTTCATTCTCTCACAGAACCTGGGCACAGCTTTATCTCTTGGTACACTCTTTCTGCTATTGGGATATCTAGTTATCCTTATGATTTCATTTACCGGTTGGGGTTGTGGCTCAGCGGTAGAGCGCTCGCCTAGCATGTGCGGGGCCCTGGGTTCGATCCTCAGCACCACATAAAAATAAAGAGATAAAGATATTAAAAAAAAAAAAAAAACTTCAGTTACTACTTCCTTTTTTAAATATCTTTTATTATTTTTTTTATTTTATGTGGTGTTGAGGATTGAACCAATGCCTCACACATGCTAGGCAAGCGCTCTACCACTGAGCCACAGCCCCAACCCAGTTACTACTACTTCAGGGAACTGTTCCCTGGCATAATTTATAATTCCCCTCCATGTTAGGTTACATAGCGCTATAAGTTTCTCCTTCATAGCACTTACTACAATTAGAATTTTATATTAATTAGTTTTTATTTAACACCTGTATCCCCTACTAGACTATAAGCTTCTTCAGAACAGAGACTATAACTGTTTTTGCTGCCATTGTATCTCTATTGTATGTGCTTGCACTAAATAAACTTTTGTTGAATAAATGGATAAATAAATGAATGGATTTTCTCCCAAAGTTAAGAAATGTCCTTTGTTCACTCATTCCAGCATCTAGTAAAAAAAATTTTAGGGGATACTGGGGATTGAACCCAGGGATGCTTAACATCCCTAGCCCTTTTTATTTTTTGAGACAGAGTCTCAGTTGCTTAGGGCTTGGCTAAATTTCTGAGTATGGCTTTCAACTTCTGATCCTCCAGCCTCAGCCTCCCAAGTTGCTGGGAATACAGGCATGTGCCACCACACCTGGATTAAAATAAATTTGGGGACCCAAGTATCACCTACTCTATAAGCTGGTCCACCCATTTTTTGGCCTAAGATGCTTTTCTTCTGTGCTCCCATGGAACTTTTCATGGTATATTATAGTTGTCTATTTTCATGCTTGTCTATCCCACTATCTTCGGAGCTTCCCCCCTTCCTTTTTTTTTTTTTTTTTTAGTTGTAGATGGACACAATATCTTTATTTATTTTTATGTGGTGCTGAAGATCAAACCCAGGGTCTCACACCTGTGAGGCTCTACCACTGAGCTACAGCCCCAGCCCTCCTTTTTTTTTTTTTTTTAAGGCAGGGATTAAACACAGGGGCACTTTACCACTGCCATACCTGCAGCTCTTTCTGTTTTGAAACAGGGTCTTGCTAAATTGTCAAGGGTGGCCTCAAACTTGCAATCCTCCTGCACCACTCCACCTGGTGTTTAGAAGTTGCTTGAAGGTAGAGGGCATCCTTTATTTATCTCTTAAGTCCTTTGCACCTGGGAAGGCATCTAGTTTATTTTACACAGGTGCGAAATGTTGAATGAGTGAAGATTAAGTCAGATGTGTGTTTTACAAAATACTCTTGGTATGTTAAGACTGGGTTAATGACCTGGGGCGTGGCTCAGAGGTGGAGCGCTCCCTAGCATGCTTGAGGCAATGGGTTTGATCATCAGCACCACATAAAAATAAAGGTATTGTGTCCACCTACAAATAAAATAAACGTTTAAAAAAAAAAAAAAAAAGACTGGGTTAACTAAAATATAGGGAAGAGATTGAGTAATGAGAATAATGCTCCAATAACCTGTTTCCAGAATCATGATTAGGTTGGGTATTTATTTATTTGATACTGGGACAACTCAAGTTACTTTGCCACTGAGTTATATCCCTATTCTTTTTTTAGTTGTTGATAGACCTTTATTTTATTTATTTATTTTTATGTGGTGCTGAGAATTGAAACCAGTTGTTTCACACATGCCAGACAAGGCACAACCCTAGCCCATCCCTATTCTTTTTTAATTTTTAGATTTTATTAATTTATTGGTACTTGGGGATAGAGCCCAGGGGTGATTTACCATTGAGTTATATCCCCAGCCCTTTTTTTTTTTTTTACTTTGAGACAGTGTCTCACTAAGTTGCTTGGGGTCTTGCTAAATTTCTGAGTCTGGCCTCTAATTTGATCTTCCTTTCTCAGCCTCCCACCAGGATTACAGGTATGTACTGCTCTGCCCAATTTATTTACTCACATATTATTATTGTTGTTGTTATTGTGTTGTTTTTAGCTTTTTTTTTTTTTTCAATACTGGGTATGAAACCCAGGAGAACTCTACCACTGATCCCCATCCCCAGCCCTTTTCATCTTTTATTTTGAGACAGGATCTCCTTAAATTGCTGAAGCTGGCCTTGAACTTGTGATCCTCTTGTCTCAACTTCCTGAATTGCTCAGATCACAGGCAAGTGCTTTTCATGCCCAGCTTGCTTACTTAATTAAAATACTTTTTCTCTAGTTACAAAATAAATATGTGTTCAAAGTAGAAACTTGGAAAGAAAACACATAAAAATTATCACAAATCCACTCTCAGCAATTACCATTGCTTACAATGTCAAGTAAGATTTTCCAGTTTTTTTTTTTAATGTATCTGTGTCAATATCTACATAGCCATATCTAAACCTTTTAAAA